AATTTCTGTGGCCTTTCACTCCATTAAATAATTATCAGTGTTAAGAACTACTATGTCAATGACTTGGATCTATGTCTCCAATTTTATCTTTATTCTAATTGTGAAAGAAGTGGAATCAAGAATCAAGAACTGTACTTACTCGGAGGGTTGTAATGAAATAAGACTCTGGAAAATTAGATTAACTGAAATATGATTTTTATTATTTTAATACAAAGAGATGATATAAGATATATACAGGAGACCTAAGCTATTTTAGGAAATATAATAACTCTATTTTATGTTAGGATCCCTTGATTTATGGGATTGTTCCTAATTATTCAAATTTGTACAGATTACAAGGAAATATATAAATTTCCTAATTTATTCTTTCCTAAAATACTATTTGATTTCTCACACTCCCCCTCAAGCTGGTGAATAGTTGTTTTTCATTCCCAGCTTGGATACAACCTTCTCAAAATTATGGCAGTCCAGTCCTTTGGTAAGAATGTCTGCAATTTGGTCTTGAGAGGACACACATGGAGTGCATATCAAGTCATTATCAAGCTTTTCTTTGATGAAGTGTCTGTCTACTTCAATATGCTTTGTTCTATCATGCTGCACTGGGTTGTGGGCTATACTGATTGCTGACTTATTATCACAATAGAGCTTCATAGGTTCTTCCCACTTTATCCTCAAGTCTTCTAAGATGATTTTAAGCCATAGCAACTCACATATACATTGTGTCATGACTCGGAATTCTGCTTCAACACTGGACCGAGCCACTACACCCTGCTTTTTGCTTCTCCAAGTCACAAGATTTCCTCCAAGAAAGGTGCAATATCCCGTAGTTGACCTCCTATCCACAATTGACCCTGCATAATCAGCATCAGTATAGACTTCAAGCTTCACATTACCATTCATTTTGAATAGAATCCCTCTTTCTGGAGTTCATTTAAGGTACTGTAAAATTCTGTGGACAGCTTGTAAATGGGTCTCCTTTGGGCTATGCATAAATTGGCTAATTAAACTCACTGCATAGGCAATATCTGGCCTGGTATGCGACAAATATATAAGTCTGCCCACTAATCTTTGGTACATATCTTTTTCAACAACAACATCTTCTTCTGCATTTCCAAGCTTTAGGTTTGGTTCTAATAGGGTACTAGCAGGTTTGCAAGCTGCCTTGCCAGTTTCCTTGAGCAAATCAGTGATATATTTCTGCTGAGATAAATATCCCTTTCTCGGAGTGGGCAACTTCAATTCCCAAAAAATATTTGTTTTCCCAAGGTCTTGATCTCAAATTCCTTGCCTAAGTATTGACTCAATAATTGTTGCTCTTCTTTATTATCTCCAGTTAATATTATGTCATCCACATACACCAATAATATTGTTACTCCCCCTGAATTGGAATGTTTAAAAAACAAAGTATGGTCTCCTTGGCTTTGTTTGTAACCAAGACCTGTCATAACTTTAGTAAACCTGCCAAACCATGCACGGGAGGACTGTTTTAACCCATATAATGCCTTTTTCAACTTGCAAACAGTGTTGGCAGCAACATCTTTACCATATCCCAGAGGTATCTCCATATAAATTTCTTCTTCAAGGTCTCCATGTATGAAAGCATTTTTAACATCAAATTGTTCCAAGTTCCAACCATAATTGGTAGCAAGGGACAATATCACCCTAACTGTGTTCGTTTTGGCAACCGGAGCAAAGGTCTCCAAATAATCAACTCCATAGGTTTGGGTGAACCCTTTGGCAACTAGTCTTGCCTTATATCTCTCAATTGATCAATCAACCTTGTATTTCACTGTATAGACCCATTTACATCCAACTGGCCTCTTTCCTATTGGTAAGGTGACTAACTCCCAGGTGTTGTTCTTCTCCAATGCCTCCATCTCTACATCCATGGCTTGCCTCCATTTTCTGTCAGACAATGCCTCAGATAGGGCATTAGGTAGAAGTGCAGTGTTTAGGTTTACTAGGAAGGTTTTATGGGTAGGAGAGAAATTTTTAAAGGACAGGTAATTTGAGAGAGGGTAAAGTGGCTGTTTGGTGCATTTTCTTGTTCCTTTTCTAATGGCAATTGGGAGGTCAGAATCATTTTGGGTTTCAATTTCAACCTGCACAGCTGGAGAAAAAAATGTTACCTCTTTTTGTGGAGTCGAGTTGGATTCTTGAACATGGCTTGATCCTGGAATGGCCTTAGTCTTCCTTGAGTATACCAACTTCTTACCAAAATTTCCAGTTTCAACATCTTCTTGATCAGCTTCAACATCTTCTTGATCAGTTTCACAATTAATTTCACTTTCTTGACCAACTTCCTTTTCTTGACCAATTCCTTGACTTGTTTCATTTGTTACAACTTCAATTTGATCTTCAATTTGATCTCGTTTAGGTTCAAATATCAAGTCTGGAAGAATGGGAAAATCAGAATTACTACTTTCAATATGATTTCGTTTAGGTTCAAATGTCAAGTCTGGAAGAATGGGAAAACCAGAATTACTACTTTCCTTATCTTCCTTATCTTTCCTGAAACTCTCCCCCTGAAGATAAGGTTGATGGAAATAGCCCTCTTGTTCATTGAAGGCAACATCCCTAGACACAAAGAATTTTTTGGATGGGGGGTGGTAGCATTTATACCCTTTTTGAGTGGGTGAGTAACCAACAAAGACACACTAGGATATATGAGATGCACCAAAAAACTCTTGGTTTAACATTATTTGTAGTAGACAAGTTTGGATAGAAAGACGACAAAGCTTCCTTAGGGCTTTTTGATCCTAAGACTCTAGAGGGTAATCTATTGATAAGGTATGTTGTTGTAAGGACAGCTTCCCCCCAGAAATTTTTTGGGACACTTTTTTGGAACAATAATGCCCGAGTCTGATTTAATAGATGTCCATTTTTCCTCTCTGCGACCCCATTCTGTTATGGTGTTTTGACACAAGAGGACTCATGAATTATACCTTCTTTTTGAAAAAAAGAATTCAGGACATGATTGAAGTAATCTTTGGCATTATCTGACCTAAGCCTCTTAATATTAACACCAAACTGATTTTTTATCATGGAGTGGAAGTTTAGGAAGACAGAACTGACTTCTGATTTTTGTTTAAGTAGGAAAACCCAAGTGACCCTTGTACAGTCATCTATAAAGGTGACAAACCATCGAGTACCAGACACATTTGGAATATTAGAAGGTCCCCACACATCAGTATGAACAAGATAGAAAGGGACATTGTTAATTCTATTACTTATTGGAAAAGATATATGCTTATGCTTAGAAATTTCACACACCTCACAATGAAGACTCTCAACATCTAACTTGGTAAACAGAGAGGGAAACATAATTTTGATCACTCCAAAAGAGGGATGTCCCAACCGACAATGATAAAACATGATTTTTTCTCTGTTGGTCATCAAGGATTCAGATATGAAGGAGTGAGAGATTCTATTCTTGTTGGGCAGACTTGGATCTTCGAGATAATAAAGGTCATTTCATTCTCTAGCATGTCCAATCATCCTCCTCGAATCCTTGTCCTGAAATACACAATGATCGTTGAAAAAAACAACTTTACATGACAAATCCTTTATAAGTTTTTGTATAGACACTAGGTTTGTGGACAACTTTGGGACATGGAGAACATCTTTTAAGGTTATTAAAAGATTGATTTGGATATTTCCTTGACCAACTACAGTTATAAGGGTTCTATTTGTTGTGGCAATTTTCTTGTTGTTGGGACATGGGGAATATGTGGAGAAGTGTTTGGCTAATGGTGTCATGTGATCTGTGGCTCTAGAGTCCAATATCCAATAATGGTTAAAAGGCGTATCTGAGACATTTAATCCAAAAGAAGGTGGAAACTTACCTGAGTATGCCAAAGAACACATACCTGTAGGTTTTTCCAGCTTACTAAGAACGGTTTTCACCCTTTCTATCTCCTCTTCCCTTGACATTATAGCAAAAAGGTGCGATGTAACAGCAATGCAGGCTGTCGTCTTAGGATTAAGAAAAATGCAGCAGCAATGCAAGCTGCCGTCTTAGGGTTAAGAAAAATGCAGCAACAATGCATACTGCCGTCTTAGGGTTTATCGTGCAGATAGAGCTTCCTTGATCGGAAGCTCTGATACCACCTGGAAAATTAGATTAACTGAAATATGATTTTTATTATTTTAATACAAAGAGATGATATAAGATATATACAGGAGACCTAAGCTATTTTAGGAAACATAATAACTCTAGTTTATGCTAGAATCCCTTGATTTATGGGATTGTTCCTAATTATTCAAATCTGTTCAGATTACAAAGAAATATACAAATTTCCTAATTTATTCTTTCCTAAAATACTATTTGATTTTCCACAAAGACTGTCAAAATGGTCATTGCTCAATTATAACACTGCAACTAAAGTTTGAGTAAAATGTTTCAATGTATCTATATATACATTACAAAATTTGGACTCCCTAATAATCTCAACTAGTGATTGAGGATGTTAAGAAGGGAAACTCTAGTTTTTATCAAATGCCTAAACAGAAGTTCAACACCTTCTTCAAGATCTTGAACAAATGACTCCACTTTCTCCAGTTGGTCGTACAGCCTACTCTTGTTTTCAAATTTACTTGTTTGGGATAATAGGCAGGATTGCAATACTTCATCAAGTTGGGCAAATTCACGTTCATTTGCCAACTTTGAGCATCCCACTATCTTTGTCTGTATTAGCTTGGAAACAAAAATCCAGCTGTTTGGCTTCGATTGTGTAGTCCCTCAGATCGAATGAAGTAGTGCCTGAAATGTTGATAAAGTGACCGATTACACGTTCTCCATTAAGTTAATCAAAACTACCGTTTCATTATCTTTGTTTGTAGATGACATGATGCATTTTGTTGTACTACCCTTCAGATTTTCCAAGGCTTTTGAGATGACCCTTTTGACCACCTTTCTTGAAGTGAAGAACTTTTTAATCTCAGTCCTGAGCTCTACGTCACCTCCCTTTCTCCTTCTCATAATTGATTGAAGTTCTCGCATGCACTCTTTTGTGTGTAGTAGGGAGTCTTTGGCAGTTGTGCACACATCTAAGAGCCTTAAGGATCCATCCAGAAGCTCATCTACCCAGTTTTCTTGCCTCTCACGGTGAGGTGCTTCTTGAGAGAGGGGAAGCTGGAACAATTTTTCTACACATTCATGTAAATCTTGCAACCCTCCTAGCTTGTGGCCAAGGGATGAAGAGGAACAGGAGGTTCCCTGAGACGCCTTTAACCTGTCCAAGTGCTCATTGCATTGTAGGATAAAAGGGTGTGGTCTAGATGGCAAGCTGAGCGAGCATGGAAATTGGATTTTGTGTTCAATTGAGAGGTTGTCAATTTTCTTCAGCGGAAGAGAAGGCTAGATGATTAGAATATAATTCAGTTTTTGGATCTACCTTCTTGCTAATGCCATCTGCTCAATATATATATAGCAGGTGTTAGGGACACAAGGAATCTCATCTTAAACTAATATCAATAAGTGCCAACAAATCAAGTTTTGGATCTAAACATGATCACTTAAATGTTAGGGAAGTGTCTCCTGAATGAAATCTCTCCAACCAGCACTTTGATTCATTTTTCTCTCGCACTTGGATGATTGAAGTTTTCAATGACAATCATTGAATTTAAAAATGTTGCATTCAATACTGTTATTGACCTGCATGTGTGGACTATTCTGATGGATAAAACAATGGCTGCAGTACTTCTGAGCATGTCTCTCATGAAGAAACAAGAATTGAATCACTCGTTGTTTCCAACTATTAAAATAAGGCTAAAGTTGTGAGAGAAAAGAAGGGAGGTGAGGTGAGCCTGAATCTGTGTCTCTGTTGCACCCCACTGATTTAATATAAAACTGTCTAATCAAGATTTGAATTTAAACATAAGCTTATTAATGTTAGTGCAAGGTCTCCCACAAGGAATTTGCTGACACCTCGTTTCTCTTAATTAATATGCTATAATGCAACTACTATTTTGGCAATTAATTGATAAGAAATGTATTACATTGTGTCACCACTCGTGTGCATGTGTAAAATACACTGTCCACATGACTAATGATAACTTTAACTGCATATTTTCAAACATTGTCCAAAGTAAAATACAGACCATTAGGGGCTGTAAAATATAGAATAACTGGATTAATTTGGAGAAAAGAAAATGGATCTTAATTTCAACTTTGTGCTCTGGTACAGAGTGGTTAGATGCTCGTATTGATAAACTTAGAAGCAAAAAGACAGAAGTGAGCCTATTAAACTGTTGTTTTGGATAGTTTTGCTTGACTTTAATTAAAACATAATACATGTGATTTTTCTCTACAGCTTTCTTTTGTTTGCACAATATCTTTTTATTGCCATTTCCGAATATGATGAATTTTTCAGTGCGTAAGTTAATCCCTTGAAGTAAGGCTTTTATCTCACATAATCCAATCGTGGACCAGGTCTTCTGCTACAACTATCAAAATCTTTTAATTTGTGTTCCAGGCTTAGCTTAATGTGTTTAACTTTATGCAGTGCTGAACATTTATTTCTCGTGGATTGACTAGTTTTGGCAATTACCAAACTGTAGTTGAATTTGTGAATTGAGATTTGTCAGCAGGTTTACTGTATTGATTGATATAAAATGATACAAAGCACTGTAGAATTAGAATAAGAAAAAAGACAGCAATTACTGTTATAAATATTAGTACGAATTATCATTTCACAACCGGGGTAGGATACAACTTCCATAATAAACAACATATTAAACATCTGAGAGCAAAGTTAAGAAAACAGCAACAAAAATACAACTACGTGCTACAAAATATATAGTTTCATGTTATTACACCAAAGAATTAAGAATTTAACTGTATTACATGGGAAACACCAGTCCCTAGCAGTAGTTAAAAGCAAATGCGATGCTTGTGAACCCACTTAACAAGCTATTATGATGGATCTGTCCTTCAAAATATTGATTTAATATCATGTGAACCAATCATCCAATTATCAGTAATTAAACTGATAACAATGATCTTAATCAAAAGAGGTAGTGCTTAGGTTTTATAGTCTCAGCTTCAGATGATGGTCAGAGACTTGACAGACTCTGACAAATTTATCAGTTGTGTCAGATGCTCCACCAATGCACCTAGTTGCAACTCTGTCCTTCTCCTCAAAACACAACTCAGAGTTTGCTTTCACTATGCTTTGGATTTACTTCAAGACACTGCATTACTGAGTTCAAAACCCTGTTCTACACTAATGGATCATATTCATCCTCTGCACAAAAATTCTGGACAGATGTTAGATGTTACAAAATATAGAAGGTTTACTTGGAAGAATGAATTGTCTAACTAATACTAGGCCAGATATATCCTATGCAGTTGGTAATCTAAGTCAGCCTCTTGATTAACATATTGTACACAACATCAAGCTTCTCTCATGCTATTAAAGTACATTAAAAAGTAACTACGAATCGGATTTTTCTTTCCTGCTTGTATCAGATTCAAAAGTAACTGCTATTCTGTTTTTTCTTATGACAATATAATATCCTAGAACTTTTGCAGGGTTTATTGTATAACTTTAACAGGATTGGTATTACAACTATCATAGACTAGAAAAGATAACTATCCTTACAAACATTTTACAGAAAATGAACAGTTCAACTAAACTAATTACAAAAAAGATAAGAACAATTCAATTAAACTAAATTGGAAGATAACTATCCTTACAAACATTTTACAGAAAATGATAAGAACAGTTCAATTAAACTAATTACAAAATAAAATTCCTAATTGTCAATAACTAGTTGTTGCCCACATCGTTTCATTCTTTTTTAATCATCACATTTTTCATCATAATACATTATTAACATTATGACATGACTTTGAAATGGCAGCTTTATGTTTTTCTCTGCCGTTTGAAATGGACTCAACGGAAACCTTTTAACATGAAGAAAAATAAATGAGGAGGATCAACCACACCCGTTCCAACTTAAGACTCCCTTCTTTATATTGTGATTTGCAAGTCCCACGTCTCTTAGAATATTTGATAAATGAAAATTTATAAATCTTCTGACAAGCATGTGGGTTCGCCGAGCTGGGTAACTGTCAGCTTGTGACCCAAGAGGGGGCATGAAGGTGTTAGGAACAAGGCTTTGGCTTTGCTAAGTTGGTTTGGATGTAGCATCTTGCTGGCCTGCCCACTCCAAGCTGGGAGTTGAGCCATGGGAACTGTGCGAAGGCATTGATCTCGTGGTTCCTAGACAGAGGGCACCGCGTGAGGCTGGCTTCACAGAGCAGCGAACACCTCTGGCTCTTGACAGTGGAGGGATCACAGGCTTCTGCACTTCCAATCCGATGAGCTTGCCGAGCCTCTCTCTTGAACCATCACCTTTTTTATTCTTTTACACCCATTGAATTTACTTGATAAGTGGGTTCATGTTTACCCTCTACGTCTCATCTTTCAACCTCCCTTTTTATCCCAAAAGTTCAATATTAACAATGAAAGGAAAGAGATGATAAAACAGAAAAAAACACTTTTTCTTTTATTTAATCTACCTACAGATGTTACAATCTATTGTTTATTATTCAATTATACATATGAAACAGGAATCAAGGCCATATTACTAATCATAACTTCTAATCAACTTTTATTTCTTTCTGTTGATGTTACAACTTGCGTTGGGTTGATTATTAAATCAAAACCTATGCCTGCACATGTTCCCAAGTTTAATATGATAATGAAATGGAAGCGGGTTGTAGTGGTGTAAACAAGACAAGTGAATTAGCATATTATCATCAAATATGGTGGTCCATGCTATTTCTCACACACGCCTTATTTTGTTTATAAATGGAACAACAATTCGTGTTTCTGCATGAAAGACATGTTCAGCCGTACTGCAGCCATTGTATTAGCCATCTGAGTCGTCCACACGTCCATATCAATTACTCTATTCAATGCAAGATTTTTATAGTTCTCATTGAAAACGTCAATCATAAAAGTGAGAGAAAAATGAATCAAAGTGTTGGTTGGGGGAGATTTCATGTGGGAGACACTTTCCTAACAATTATGTGATCATGTTTAGATCCAAATCTTGATTTGTTAGCTCTTATTGATATTAGTTTAAGTGAGATTCCACGTGTCCCTAACACCCTGTTATATATATATTGAGCAGATGGCATTAGCAGGAGGGTAGATCCAAAAACTGAATTCTATTCTCAACATCTAGACTTCTCTTCCTCTGAAGAAAAAATGACAACCTCTGAATTCAACACAAAATCCCATTTCCATGCTCTTCAAACAGCTTGCCCTCTAGACCACACCCTCTTATCCTACAATGCAATGAGCACTTGGACAGGTTGAAGGCTTCTCAGGAAACCTCCTCTTCCTCTTCATCCCTTAGCCAGAAGCTAGGAGGTTTGCAAGATCTACATGAATGTGTAGAAAAATTGTTCCAGCTTCCCCTCACTCAAGAAGCACTTCACCGTGAGTGGCAAGAAAACTGGGTAGATGAGAGCTTCTGAATGGATCCTTAAGGCTCTCTTAGATGTGTGCACAACGACCAAAGACTCTCTACTACATACAAATGAGTGCATGCGAGAACTTCATTCAATTATGAGAAGGAGAAAGGGAGGTGAAGTAGAGCTCAGGACAGAGATTGACTTCAAGAAAGGTGGTAAAAAAGGTCATCTCAAAAGCCTTGGCAAATTTGAAGGGTAGTACAACAAAATGTTGTTAGAAATACAAGTTGAGATGAAGAGGGGGTGAATTAATCTAATAAAAAACTTTTTGCAACTTTTGAGTACAAATTGTAAATTTCGAATATTGAAGAACTCGATCAATTCTTAAACTAAATAATAGCAATCTTAAATGAAAGAAAGAGATAAAAAAAAAGCAAAAACACCAAGATTATACTGGTTCACCTAATCCACTGGACTACATCCAGTTCTCAACCAAATTTCAGTTGAGTTTCAATAATCAAATACCAATTGATTACAAGAACAAATTACAGAAAAACAATTTACACCAAGAACTTTAAATCAGTTCTTCGACCTATGATAGCAACCACAATTTTAACTGCTTAAATCAGTGCCCACAATTCCAGACACCAAAAATACAATGAACAGAATGAGAAATTAAGAAACTCGAAGAAACTACAACAATCAAATCAGTATGCAAATGCAAAAATCCAACTACAGAGTGAGTTTCCTTAAAAAATAAGAACAAAGAACCTAAAGAAAGATTGTTAAAGAATTCTAATAAGAAAGACGTGTTTCTCTCTTGAAAAATATCTTTAAAGATTGGTTAATTGATTTCTTAAAGATGTATTTTAAAACATTGGAGAAGATCTGTTTATCTAGAGATTTTTCTAACTAACTGATGTGATTAATCGATTAATTTGCATTTTAATCGATTAAAACAACTTATCTTAAATGAATTTAACTGATGATTTTTTTTAATTAATTAAAAGGTTCTACCAATTTTTCTCAAGACGTTTTAATTGATAAAAACGTGGTTTAATCGATTAAAAGAACTCGAAAATTTTTCGAGGCATTTTAACTAATAAAAACAATATTTAATTGATTAAAACTATGATACAAAAATTGTTTAAGTATTTTTAATCGATGATTTCAAAGTTATATCGATTAAAATTTTGACACTAAGTTTTTTAAAACTTCTTAAGTGATTTTAACCGATTATTTATGATACAAAAATTGTTTAAGTATTTTTAATCGATGATTTCAAAGTTATATCGATTAAAATTTTGATACTAAGTTTTTTAAAACTTCTTAAGTGATTTTAACCGATTATTTCGAAGATATACCAGTTAAAGTTCGACATAATATTTTCTAAAACTTCTTAAGTGATTTTAATCCATTATTTCAAAGATATATCGGTTAAAATTCTAACAAAAAGTTTTTTAAAACTTGTTAAGTGAAATTAATCGATTATTTCAAAGATATATCGATTAAAATTCTAACGAAGGTTTTTCAAAAATTCTTAAGTGAAATTAATTAATTATTTTGAAGATATATCGATTAAAACTTGACAGATAAATTTTTTAATTTATTTAAGCGATTTTAATCGATTATTTCAAAAAATTATTAATTAAAATTGCGACAGAAAGTGTTTTCAAGTTATCTAAGTGATTTTAATCGATTATTTTGAAAACATATAAGTTAAAACTACGACTGAAAAACATATTAATCGATTAAAACGATTTTTAACATATTAAAAATACTTGTGACACTTTATACACTTGTAAAAGACAAAAACTCATGTTATAGGAAAGGATAAATGCTTATACCTACTCAAAATAGATGCAAACTCATTAATGGACTAATACAACATCTTCTATTTAATAACTTCTTTTGAATTCATCAAATCTTCTAGTCAAGATTTTCAAGATTCTTCTTATTAGCTTCTTCATCAAATGTAGCATGTCATCTACATACAATGAGAATCAAACAGTAGCTTTCACAAACTTAATGGAGAACTTGGAATCGATCACTTTATCAACATTTCAAGAACTACTTCATTTGATCTCAGGGACTACTACACAATCAAAGTCAACTAACTGGATTTTGGTTTCCAAGCTAATGCAGACAAAGAGAGTGGGATGCTCAAAGTTGACAGATGAACGTGAATTTGCCCAACTTGATGAAGCATTGTAATCTTGCACTTTTTCCCAAACAAGTAAATTTGAAAGCATGAGTAGGTTGTACAACCAATTGGAGAAAGTGGAGTTGCTTGTTCAAGATCTTGAAGAATGTTTTGAATTTCTGTTTAGGCGTTTGATAAAGACTAGAGTTTCCCTTCTTAACATCCTCAATCACTAGTTAAGATTAGGGCGCCCAAATTTTGTAATACATATGTATAGATACATTGAGACATTTTACTCAAACTTTGGTTGCAGTGTTATAATTGAGCAATGATCATTTTAACAGTCAAGTTAATGTATACAGTTAGAAAATGACATTAATTAAATTTCTAAGAACATGAAGCTTTGAATGGACTCCTTTAAACTGAGAAAGTGTATAAAGTTAGAAAGTAGAGGTATTAACCCTTAGTTGAAATTAGGATGAAACACCACGGGGTAGTAATCAATTTTTTTTTTGTTTAATCTAAGAAGTAATAAGATAAAACACCACAAACTCACATCTATTGATTATCTTCCAAATAATAAGTACCACCACTAGCAGCAATTCACATGTATTATACAAATTGATAAATAAATGTAAACATTTAAACTGATAACTTTTAATAAATAAAGAAGTACCTTCATCGTCAAATTCCATTTCATTGAGTACAGTAGAATCTTCTTGAACTACATTAGAATTTTTCCAACCTATATATATATATATATAACATACATAAAACAATATTAAAAAATAATTAAATAAAATATACAATGATTATTAGTCATTTAATAAGATATTAAAATGTAGAATTTAAAATTTTACCAGCATTATGAGCACTCCATAACCCACTTTTGGTACATATCAAGGCTTCTAAAGTAGTCGAGGGAAGTTGACTACGATGCTAACTTAATATTTGATGACTAGTCTTCAATGCATATTCAAAAGGTACAATAGAGACAGGAATAGCCAATATATCCTTTGCAATTACTTGGAGTGTTGGATATTTAACTCCATCCAACTTCCACCATAATAAAATATCAAAATTTAATGTTCGTGGTAAAATTTCTTCCTCTAAATAATGATCCAACTCTGTTTTAACATATGAAGTTCTACCCTTTATTTTCCTTGTAATATACATATCAAACTCACTTAATGGATCATCATGAACATTACTACCGTCCAAAGATGATGGGGCACTACCAAGAGAGACTCTACTCATTTTCAATTAATAATCATGAGCCAGTTCATTACACAATTGTCGAACCATCCTAATTTGAACACAATTGTTCATATAATTTTTCATAATAATACTCAAGTAATTCCATTTTGTATCTTGGATCCAAAATAGTAGCAACTGCCATTATATTATGAATCACATTCCAATATCTTTCAAATTTGGCTGACATCCTTTTCGTCATTTTTTTTATCAATTCACAGGTGGAGTTAATCCATTGAGATATTTGTTAGTAAAGGAGGCTAATATTAAGAGGGGATGAATTGATTTTGAAAGATTTTCGCAATTTACAGATTATCTATTTCAAAGATTAAGAGTTCTGACCAATTCTTGAATCAAGCAAAACAAACAATCAAAATAAAGACAGCAGCAGAATTAAAGAGAGAAAATTTTAGAGAAATACAACCAAGATTTATATTGGTTCACTCAATCCCAGGGCTACATCCAGTTCTCAACCAAATTTCAACTGAGTTCCACTAGATTGAATGTTTTACAGATTATGGATTTCAATCACACACCCAATCTACCACAAGAACCAAAATTCCAGTCCTTGCACCTAAAACTTCACCAAGAACCAACTTCCAGTTCTTGAACCACCCTGCAGCCAAATTCCAGTCATAGAAACCCATAATACAGTAATGAAATGTAAAGAAACAAAGAGAAGAAACTAGAACACTCAAACCCGGATTATGCAGCTCTGCAGATTGAGTTTCTTCACAAAAGAAATGCAGAAATTGCCTCAAGAAAGAACTTTGAAAAACTTTACAAAACTTGCGTGATTCTTTCTTGAAAGTAGTTCTTATGATTGCTTGATTGATTGTTCAAAAGTATGTTTTAAAAGACTCAAGCAATCCTATTTATATAGAGAATTGTTCTAACTACTGGTTTAATTAATCTGTTAAGACAATCTTTTAATCTGTTAAAAGTCTTGAATTAATATGTTAAAACTTCTTTTAATCTGTTAAAATGTTCTTGATCATTTTCCAAATTTGTTTTAACTGATGCGACATTGTTTCAGTCGATTAAAACACTTTGTAAAAAATCCCTTAAGTTGTTTTAATCTATTAATTCGCCTTTTAATCCATTAAAATTCTGCCAAATATCTTTATAAAACTTTCTAAGTGATTTTAACTGATAACAACCTGTTTTAATCGATTAAAACACTTTGTAAAAAATCTCTTAGTTGTTTTAATCGATTAATTCGCATTTTAATTGATTAAAATCCTGCCAAATATTTTCATAAAACTTTCTAAGTGATTTTAACTGATAACACATTGATTAAAATTCTGACAGAACTTCTTTCAAAACCTTTCAAGTGGTTTTAATCAATTAATTCGAGATTACATCAATTAAAATACTGACAGAACATCTTTCAAAACACTTCAAGTTATTTTAATCGATTATTTCAAGTTTGTATCGATTAAAATACTATAATAACACTTTCCAAAACATTTTAAGTCATTTTAATCGATTATTTCTAATCTATATCAGTTAAAATACTGACAGAAGGTTTTCAAAAATTTCTTTAATGAAAACAATCTATTAATTCGAAGATATATCGATTAAAACAGTTCCAGTGAATGTTTAAAAAGGTTTTAATTGATTATTTCGAAAACCTATAAGTTAAAAACCTGTTATGTAAGTGTTAAGAACATTTTAACTGATAAAGCTCATATAATATCAATTAAAACAATTACTTAAAAACCATTTAACCGATTACTTTGGTTTTTAACAGATTAAGTACGTTTAGAGGCATTTTCAAAAATCTTTTAAATGATGAAACCACATGCAGCAAAAAGATATGAATGATTATACCTATGTATAGATGCAGACTCACTAA